AAAAAAAAAAAAAAAGGCCAGGGATATAGTTCAGTGGCATGGCATGTGCCTGACAAGTGCGAGGTCCTGGGTTCAGTTTCTGGTTTGAAAAAAAAAAGAGAGAGAGAATAGAAAGAAGAAATGGAAACAAAGCTTTTGTAAATAAGGAGGGTAAGAAAGGTTGAAGGGAGGGGAGAGGAATCGGAAAAAGGAATCAAGATACGTACAGGTACAAATTCTCTATGGTGAATGTTATTACTATCGATATCTAAAATGTACCAATAAAATTTTAAAATGCAAAAAAAAAAATCCTGCAATAAAAATTTCTGCAACTACTCTCCCTCGTATGGACTTCCACTTCCCTTCTACCTTTCCGAGTCTCATTTTGATCCAGTTCTGATATGGGGACTTGCGGTGTCTTCACACCCTAGTCCTGGGTTTCACTTTTCTCTTTTTACCCACATGAGGCGTGTGGAGGAAGGGAGGGCGGAGGGCTGAGATCCTGCGGCCTGAGAAGCGGACTCCTCAGCTGCCGGCCCCTGGGTCCAGGTCCAGGAAATGGACTGGCTCCCACACAGCGTGAGGAGGTTTGTGGAACTGCAGGGAGAAGCCAGAGGAGAAGGGGAAGACAGGGAAGCCGGGGCAGACAGGGCCAGGCGTCTCCAAAGAAGTGAAATCTACCAATCTGGAGCTGCCCATTGGTCGGGCTGAGCTACCAGACAGGAGTCTGGTGAGTGGAAGCCTGGGAGTAGGCTGCAGGGCGTGAGCCGCAGAAGTTGGATAGTTGGGGGAGGAAGTCAGGGGTGAGGTTGGTGAGGAAACGTCCTTTTGCTGAAAGGGCAGGTTTTGAGGCAGAGCTGCAGGCCGGGAACCCACCTGTCTCAGCAAAGCTGATGATCTCATATTCTTGTTTCCTGTCGTCCTCCAGGAGTGCCCGCTGTGGAGGTCCACAGAGGCGCTGCAGTGCCGTCCTCAGGGCCGCTCTGGACACGGGCCGGCTCAGGGTCGGGCGCTGGCTGAGGTTCAGCTTGTCCAGGATGCTTCTCTTGGCCAGATCAAGAAGCAGCTCCCGGTGGCTCTCCAGGTCCACGGCAGGCCCCCCACATGCTGGACACTGACTGCCGGGTCTCAGAGCGGCCACTATGGCCGGAGTCAGGAATACCAAGGCTGGGAGCAATGAGGAGATCATTTCTTGAACCCCCCTTGAACAACACAACTCCAGGTCTCAACAGTGCAGTCCCCACTCTGTCCCGGCCATCAGGGGCTCTGGGAAGAGTGTTGTCCTGGTTGCATGACTCCCTTTTTTGCAGGCGATAGAGCAGCCAAACATCTGATTTGAAAAATAAAGCCAACTACAGGTAGAATTTGGCAGAATCTGCTCATGCAGGCAGTGAAAATACAGAGTGGGGGATGTGAGGAGAGATTGGTTTGTTTGGGAAGAGAGATGTCCCTGGGCCAATGTGGGGAGATAGCTATTACCCATGTGAGCTGCCAGACCTGGGGACAAAGGTTAGAGATGAAATTCCCCCTTAGATTGCTGGCATAGCTGGAGAGCCTGGCAGGGGGTGGGGAGGGGAGTAAACAGCGTTTTTTTTTTTTTTATTGTTTTGAGAGAGCTTGTTTGGAGATTCTAGCATGGAAATGCAGGTACTTGTATACCCTTGGCTGAAGAAAGTGTCCTCCTCCATGGGGGTGGTCGTCCTCTTCGACCTCAGCCCGCAGCTTCAGGGAGGGAAGACAGAGAGGGCTGAGGGAGGAACTCCCGCCTAGCAGCTACATCAGCTGAATAAACTCTGGCAATCAGTGGGTGACAGATGTCACAGTCAGATCACCCTCACATCCAAATTTTTGATTTTGAGATAAGGTCTTTCTTAGTTGCTAAATTTCCCGGGGCTGGGGTCAAGACTGCCTCAGCTTCCCAGAGTGCTGGGATCACAGGTATGCATCATTGTGTCTACCCAAAGGTTTTATTCCTGGAGGCTAAGGCAGGAGGACTGCTTGTTGCCAGGGATTTCAGGCCAGCCCAGGCAACATATCAAGACTGGTCACAAAGTGTGTTAAGGGTTGACTTTCAAGTAGAGAAAACCTTGGGCCAGCTTTTTTGCTTGTTTGTTTTGTTTTCTTGAGACAGGGTCTCACTATATAGTTCAGGCTGGCCTTGAATTTGTGGCGATCCTCCTGCTTCAGCTTCCTGAGTGCTGGGATTACAGGCATGTGCTACCATGCCTGGCTTTTTTTTTTTTTTTTTGGTCTTTTTTGAGACAGGGTCTGTCTATGCAGTTCAGGCTGGCTGAGCTCACTTTGTAGCCCAGGCTGGTCTCGAACTAGCAACGATCCTCCTGCCTCAGCCTCCCGAGTGCTGGGATTACAGGCGTGCGCCACCACGCCGGGCACGTTCTGTTTTCATAGTAGGGATTTACCTGGCAAGGGTAAAGGGTAGAGGCAGGAGCACACGTTTTTAAACCAAATGGCACTGGGGATCTAGTTCAGTGGCACAAGTGCCTGCGTAGCAAGTACAAGGTCCTGAGTTTGATTTCTGACACCAAAAAAACAAAAACAGAAAAATCAAATGGCACTACCTAAATCCCCCTCCCCCCACAAAACAAAACAAAACTAAACAAAAACTCAAAAAACCCCACCACTTTCTCTTCTTTTTTGTGGTGCTGAGGATGGAACCCAGCATCTCCTGCATGCTAGGGAAGCACTGAGCTACATCCCCAGCCCTAGAATATTTTCATCATCCCAGAAGAAACCCTTGTGTCCATTAGCAGTCACTTTGCACTTCCAAGGACCTTCCTACTATGACCACCCTACCACTATATTACCCAGGCTGGCCTGGAATTCCTGGGCTCCAGTGATCTGATCCTGTGGAGTAGCTGGGACTATAGTGAGCCACTGTAATTAGCTCTAATATTTTATTTATTTATTTATTTTTTTCATTTTTGAGACAGGGTCTCACTATGCAGTTCAGGCTGGGCTTGAGCTCACTTTGTAGTCCAGGCTGGCCTTGAACTCGCAATGATCATCCTGCCTCAGCCTCCCGAGTGCTGGGATTACAGGTGTGGGCCACCATGCCTGGCAGCTCTAATATTTGAATATTCCTAATTACATTCTTGGATGATAACCTGATCTTGAGTTTGGGGGAGGCAGTGTTATTGCTATTTGTTTCGTATCTTGACTATGTTATTGCTATTTGTTTCGTATCTTGACTATGGAAGGTAGTTCCCAGACCTCTCCTCTCCTATGACAACTTCAACTGCTCCTCTTCTCCTTTGAAGCCAGGGAATAAACCCTCCTGAATAGAGAAAAAGAGGTGGGCAAAGCCAGGAAAAGCAGGGAGGCTCTTCTCAGGAGCAGATGCTTCAAAGATTTTGCCCAAGTTGATCTTCATTTTGTTGCTACACAAGTCCCAGAAAGACTTTAGACTGTTTTACTTTGTATCACTGCAACTAGAGGTCCTTGGGGTAAACTGCCCTTTTCAGTTACATTTAATCTTTTTTTTTTTTTTTTTTTTTTTTTCCCAGCTGTGTCTTGCTATGTTGCCCAACCTTGTCTCAAATTTGTGGACTCACGTGATCCTCCTTCCCTCGCCTTTGGAGTAGCTGAAACAATAGGTGTGTGCCACCATACCAGGCTTTTTGAGACAGGGTCTTGCTATGTAGTTCAGGCCGGACTTAAACTTGTGGCGATCCTCCTACCTCAGCCTCCTGAGTGCTGCAATTACAGGTGTGCCACCATACCTGGGAATATATATATGATATATTTCTGTTTGTTGGTTGGTTTTTGTTTTTAGAGTGAAGTGGTTAGCAGGCTCTGGCTGTGTGTGGTATCCCATCTTAATCTCAGCACTCTAGGAAGGAGACAGGAGTGTAAGAAAAAAAAAAAGGTCCATTTTCGAAATGAAATAGTTAACTCTGAGTGAAAAATTACTGGCAGTTTGAATTGCCTAATGACCTGACAAAGTTCATGGATTTGGACAGTCTCTGGGCAAGCGGGATCTTGAGGGAGAGATATAAATAGTAAGAAAAAGAGCCTTTGTAGAGTGTAGGAGGGAGTAGGAGAAAGGAGGAGAAAAACACTTTGCTAGCTAAGGCTAAGTAGAAACATAGTAATTGCAAGGTCACATGCAATGTCTAGGCAGGAACATCTGAGTCTTGAAAAGTCCCAAAGTAAAGAATAGAAAATATTATGAAAACCAGGCATGGTAGCACACGCCTGTAATCCCAGCACTCAGGAGGCTGAGGCAGGAGGATAGTTGCGAGTTCAAGACCAGCCTGGGCTACAAAGTGAGCTCAAGGCCAGCCTGAACTGCTTAGCGAGATCCTGTCTCAAACAGACCAGAAAAAAAAAAGAATATTATGCAGAAACCCAAAGGCAAGTTGAGAGGAGGGGCTGGGGAACTACCTTATGAAAGAGTAATGAAACATAGGTGATGTCAGGGGAGGCACCTCATAATATTCTCAGCCAGTGCGGAGATGGGGGAAGGGACCTGTGTGCTAGGGTTAAATTGCGCGCTGTGATCACTCTGCATGAGCCTGCTGGTTTAGCGGACACTCAGCCTTTGCAGAGTGATTAACAGCCTTGCTTTGGCGGCTCTTCTTGCCGCCTCTGAATGTGCTCTTCCGGTTTCGGCAGGCGAATGCACTTCTCACAGGAGGACTGCGATTCTTTTTCTTTTTTTTGTCTTTTTGAGACGAGGTCTTGCTGTGCAGTTCAGGCTGGCCTTGAGCTCACTTTGTAGCCCGGCCTGGTCTCGAACTCGCAATGATCCTCCTGCCTCAGCCTCCTGAGTTCTGGGGTTACAGGTGTGGGCCACCATGCCTGGCTAGGACTGCAATTTTGAGTCCAGTTTGGGCAATTCAGTGACTTAGAGAGAACTTGCCTCAAAATAATTTAAAAATAAAATGTAAAAAGGGGGCTAGGGATGTAGCTCAGTGTGAAGGCTCTGGGTTCAATTCCCAGCACTGCAAGAAAAAAAAGCACTGTGCATTCTATGTTATACATACATACATATATACATAATACAAATATTAGCTATTATTTCCTAGGCTTCACTACCTCCTGTCCTCAGTTTTAAAACCTGAAACTTACTGATGCTCGAAGAAAAGATCAATTCCAAACCTCTGTGAGGGGGTGGTAATATGGGATCCTGGTAGAGTGCTTGTTTAGTATGTGTAAGGCTCTGATTTTGATCTCCAGTAATACACCCACACACAGCAGTAAAAAAAAAAACAAAAAATCACACCTCTATGACTTTGTTGGAATCTCCTAATTCCCTCTTTGGAGAACTCATTTCTATATTTTTGTTTTTGGTTTTATTGAGACAGGGTCTCAATATGTAGTGCAAGCTGGCCTTGAACTCACTTATGTAGCCAAAGGTGGCTTCAGACTCACAGCAACCCTCCTGACTCTGCCTTCTGAGCCCTGGGATTACAGGTACCACCATGTTAGGCCATATCTATCTTTCAAAAGGTTAGTGCAAAGTTCTTTTACTGGAAATTATATACATATATATATATGTATATACATATATTTTTTTTGTACTGGGAATCGAACTCAGGACCTTGTGCCTGCCAAGCAAGGCGCTGTGCTAGTGAGCTATATCCCTGGCCACATATATAAATATAAATATAAATATATAAAAATAGTTTTGTCAGGTGTGGTGATGCACACCTGTAATCCCAGTACTCGGGAGGCTGAGGCAGGAGGGTCATTGTGAGTTTGAGACCAGCCTGGGCTACAAAGTCAGTCCACACCATTGATATGTACAAAGTAGTTGAGGTGCTACATTCTGAAGTCCCAGCTGCTTGAGAGGCTGAGGCAGGAGGATCACGTGAAGCCAGGAGTTTAAGACCAACAAAGTAACAGCAAGAGCCTGCTCTCTAAAAAAATAAGTACAGTTTACAAGTGTTTTTTTATTTTGTTTTGTTCTGTTTTTTGAGACAGGGTCTGTCTGTACGGGTAGGGGACCTTGAACGTGCTATGTATCCCAGCATGGCCTTGATTTTGTAATCTTCCTCTATAAGCACTTATATAGCACTATTTGATTTTTTTTTTTTTGTCCTCTACATTTTTTGTCACATAGTAAGTTTTTAACGATGGAATACATACGACTACGCTGTTTCTTTGAGGGGGTTAGTAAATTATCCAAATACACATAACTAAATTAATTCTGCCTAGAATGAACAGAAGGGGGGGGCTAGAAATTTAAAATGTTGAGAAAAAGAACTGTTCCTTCTCGCCAAGACTGGATCCTCAACCCTTTTAAAATTTTTGGAATTTTTGAGACAAGATCTTGCCAAATCGTTAAATGGCCCTGGATGGGCTCCAATTTGTGGTCCGCCTGTCTCAGCCTCCCAGAGTGCTGGTATTACAGATGTGTGACACCACACCTTGCCCAGAATTGTACCTTCCTAAGGAGGTGAAGGTAAGAATGTGATTTTATTTTTATTTTACGTTTTTTTTTTGGTACCGCGAATTAAATGCAGGACCTTGTGCTTGCCAGGCAGGGGCTGTGCCGCTGAGCTATCTCCTTGGCCAAGAATGATTTTAGTAAGATGGACTGAGCTCCTCACAGGTCAGTTT